CTCATTGACTTGAGAACGAACGTTACGAACACATACACACACAACACACAATGGCAAGAGAACTGAGATAATTCGTTCGCTAAATTAATAATCATAGCGCTTTTTTATTCTTTTATTATTTTATTTTTTTTTTTTTTTTTTTTTTTTTTTTTTTTTAATCATCATTCCCTTTTCTTTCTATCTTTATTTGTTTTTTTTTCTTTTTTTTCTTTTTCAGTTTTTAAATTTCATTCATTTTCGATCGCATCGTCCACGTCGATATTTTTTCTATCGGATCGACGAAGAAGAGGCAAAAAGAAAAGAGGAAAAAGTGTGTTGACCGTTTTGTATGTATTTTTTTTTCTTTTTTCCTTATAAGGCGCACAAGGGTATTATTTATTATTATTTACAGTTATTTATATTAACATCGTTCCACATTTCGTTTATCGAGGTTTATATAATATCTATATAGTACTTTTATATATATATATATATATTGTATTATGAGTACTAGTATGTAGGTGTATTTTTATGCGTTTACTTGTAATATCTGTATAATGTGTATATATATATATATATATATGTATATGCTCTGTAACGATGTAACATTTTCATTAAATATTACTCGAGAGTCCCAAGTATAACGACATAATATATAAACAGAATGTATCATACTTGTAAATATAATGTTCAGGATTGAATTTAGCATAAAAAATTATGATAATAATAATTATAATAAAAAGAAATTATTTACTATGTAAAAGTAACGAAGATAATATTTTGTAGTTGTTATTAAACAACTATATAATATTATTAATTTATAGTGGCTCACAATCAATCTGATACACATGTCTTTAAACCAACGAATTACCTTATACCGCCATCTGTTAGAATCTTATAGAAACTAACAGAGATAATCTCTTGACTCTTTGCTAATAAACAAATAATTCGCAATAAAATAATATTGCGAATTATAAATTGAGATATAAACTATCGTATCTTTCAAGTTGAATGAAACTGCACACTGTGTGCAAAATTTGATTAAAATCGGTTCAGTTGTTTAGGTGTCCATTGCGAACAAACAACGTGACGTTACGTAATTTATATATATATATTAAGAAGATTAATTACGAAGTTTTTTGTTTATTTTTTATGATTAATACAATCCTAAATTTATATTGACGTATTTGGATACACTCTGTATGTATATGTATATATGTATATATATATGTGTTTGTATATATGTATGTACGATTTTTTTGTTTTGATTAACTTTCGTTTTTATAAGTTTTAAAATTACATTTTTAAACGTATCAAATCATAATTACGATTCTTCGATAATTTTATTGATGAAAAGTTTTGTCAAAATGTTTGACAAAAAAAAAATAAATCAACTAAATGAAATTGAAATGAAACGAAATAGTTGTGTTAAATGAGAAAAGAAAAAAGGAATATTTTAAAGATTATTTATTAATTTTGTTCTTTTTAAATAAAATTGTTAATAAATTATTATTCGTTCGTATGTATTTAGTATTTATATTCGTTTGAATTTGTTCAATGTTTTATCGAAGATCGAACATGATTTGAATACATTTCGCATTTTGTTTATTCGTACGATGTTAAATTGCATGCATTTTATTTAATTAGAAAGTTAATAGAAAAAAAAAAAAATTGAAATCAAAATTTTTACGTAAGTTTTAATTTAATTTCATTTAACTTTAAATTAAATAATTGACGAAGCATGGCAAAGATCGAGTAAACAATTTTTAAATAATTTTTATAATTTTTCTTAAATAATTATATACGAACGAATAAAAAAAAATATATATATATATATAAATATATTATATTATGTTATTAAAAAAAAAAAAAAAAAAAAAGAAAAAAGGAAAACTGTAGTTATAATAAAAATATTCGACGTATTAGCCTAATTCGTGTGTCATTTGTTAATTTATTAACGTGTGCTCCTATGAATAATCAGTTATAACTTTTTCTTATTTTTTGTTTTTTGTTTTTTTGTTTTTTTGTTTTTTTTTTAAATAATAACAGTTTAACGATGATTATAACAATGATTTATCTCTTTCAATTCGTATGACGAAGAGTATAATATTTAATACTAAAATGATAGGAATAAAATCGCTAATTTTTTTCTTTTTTCTTTTTTTTTTTTTTCTTTTGCCCTTTTTCCTTTTTTCATTTGTCTTAATCCATTCGCAGTTTATCATTCTCGTGATTTGTTATTTTTATTAAATAGTTCAAAATGTCGAACGTTTTTTTTTTGTTTTTTTTTTTATTGATATCATGATCGTAACAACGATTAGATCGTTTATACCGATTCGATGTGGAATTCATTTTGTTTTATTTTATTTTACTTTTTTTTTTTTTTTTAAATCTTCAAATCTCCACTTTTTCATAGATTCATTTATTTATAATTAATAGTATATTTTTCAAGTATACTTCATTTAATTTTTTTAAACGATCAACGACACTTTGATTGTCACACTCAATCATGTGTGACAATTAAAACGATATTCTCGATATCGTACAAGATAACTTTATTATTATTATTATTATTGAATATTTTAAACGAGAATTGTTTATTTACTTTTCTTACTTTTTTTTTTGTTTTTTCTTTTTTTTTTTATTTCTATTTTATAACGTTAATCATTCTAACGAGAGACGCTTGGGTTTATTTGAAGAATTTTAATTTTCTCTTGTTTGACATTTTTTTTAACTCTTTATAAATGTGTTACTTCGAAATATAATAATAATAATAATAATAGTAATAATAATAATAGTAATAATAATAATAATAATAATAATAATAGTAATAATTTATTATCGTTTTACAAACGACGAATTATCTTCTATCGATTGATAATAGCGTATTATTGCGTTATTGCAAAATTATCTCATTTTTTTTTCATATTATTTTATTTTTAAAATATATATTATATATATATATATATATCGATTAGATCGAACAACGAATGTACGAAATTAATTAAACGAAAAAGATAAAAAGATAAAAATTTATACGATATTAGCTTTAGCGATCGAGTTGCCCATCATAACTTTATTGACGAAATTAACGATGGCCGTTGCTGGTTGTTCTGGTTCCAATTCGGCGAATACGTGACACTGATTGTCTGATTTGTGTGCTGGTTTTCTTGCCACGAATCCAAAACAACGGCTAAAAAAAAATAATAATAATAATTCAATCGACAAACTTAAATCTTTCAAGAATTTTTTTTAAAGTGACACTAACTGTGCGCTTAATGGTCGTCCAGCATCTTCACCAGAAAAATCCCATGTACGTTCTTCAGTATCTAATCCACAATAACTGATATTGTTCGTAGGATAATGTCTACGAAAGAATAATTTTCTAGCATTGTCCGTCAAGGTTATACCTTGAGTCGAGACCTTGAAATGAACGATCGTTGCACTTGGTAATGGTTTTTGTTCGAATAACGTGCTTATAGCTTTCTTGATTGCTTGTGGTCCGGTCAAGGATTCCGTATCCACGGTGAAAAGATAAAGAACGTTGCATGCTAAAAAAAATATCAACAAAATATTAATAACAATTATTATTTATTATATAATATATTATAAATAATATTATTATTTCTCTTTCATTCTTTCTTACATTTTTATAAGTTAAGAAATAGTTGTTTAGCAAAATATTAATTTGATATTTCACGATACGTCACGTCACGTTGTTTGTTCGCAATGGACTCTTAAACTACTGAACCGATTTTAATCAAATTTTGAACACTGTGTGCAGTTTCATTCAACTTGAAAGATACGATAGTTTATATCTCAATTTATAATCGCAATTATTTGTTTATTAACAAAGAGTCAAGAGATTATCTCTGGTTATTCGATAAGATTCTAAAAGACGTGTGTATCGGACTGATTGTTAACCACAGCAACGCGCGTGACGAGGCACCCCTAGTAAATATAATAACAAAATAAAGTTGAAATATGAAAAATGATGATGACTAACCAGCTCCTTGAGCAAGAAGTTGTTGAGCACTATTCGTAGCAGGTGAATCCAAAGCTCTAGCAGCAGCTTCTGGTTCAGGTAGTAAAAGTTGGCATGGCAAAGCCATAGCCATCAAGCTGTGTTGATAAACTAGTGCTGACAAAGAACTAAAAACTGGTTCGTTTGCGCATCCCTTTAATCTGACACCACGTGACGTTGGCTCGATCAAGAAATGCCTGACGAGTTCGCTTGATGGATCTCTAGGACTACTAGGTGCGCCAGGTGGTGGTGTTGCTACTTTCAATGCTAAACCAAACGCACCTGGGAAAGAATTGCTGTCTCTGACTACGAATGTACCGGGTGTTGCATCTTTCAGCATTGAGATTGCTAAAACAGAGAGAGAGAGAAAATAATAATAAATATTAATAAATTAAATGGAATAAATGAATAAATGAAAATTATTTAAAATGGTATACCTTGTTCACGTGATATATTTGGTTTGTACCAGATCCTGCTGGTATCTCGTACGAATTTAACATTAACATCAGCAACTTCTTGAGGTTCGCTGTTCGAATGAATACTCGAACGTCTTGATCCGTAATACTGAACTTGTGGAGATGATTGACCACCACTGTTGATAGATGTGTAGGACGTAGCACTCTGTGAAACGAACAGATGTATGTATATTTTATATTAGTACGACATGTGACAGTAATCATCGTAACATCTATGGCAATGGCATCGGTAATAAACCACGTGTGGGTTGCTTGATTTTGTCTTTTTTCTTCTTTCCTTTTGTTTCAATTTTATATTATATTTACAACTGGTTGTTTTATCAACCAAGAGACAACCAAGCCAAATATGATAAATGTCACGTCAGTAGTATTTCCATATATGTAGTTAGCCATTATTCAGATAAACGTGAAAAAATAAGACTTTTATTATTTTTGAAAAAGTAATAAAGTTGAGATAGATGTGTATGTGTTTTTTTTTAATATATATTATTACCTCTGAAAATCATTTTCAGGTTTTTTATAAAAATTGTTGACTACCGACACGTGATCCAATTATTTGTTTTGGTTCAATTCGTAATACGTTAATAATAGGATACATTAATATATAATTAATTAATAATATTATTTAATTGAGATAAATTACCTTGGGACTTTGAGCAAATTCAACATGAGTAGGTGTTCCAGGATTATGCGAGATAGCCTGAGCCTGTGAAATAGCAGATTCGCTTATCGGAGAAACAGGTCGGTCCTTGCTGAAATAAAAAATATGATTTTTATTTAGAAAATGAATACATCATGGTATTAAACTCTTCGATACATTCGTGCTCAAGCCAATGGTACATATATATTTATATATATATATATGTTCATGTGTGTATATATATATATATATATCGCATAACTCGTGCAGAAGAAACGATATTGCATCGTGATGAACGTTGAAAGTGTTTGTACATTATGTAGAACGATAAAGAGATTCGTAGAAGATCAACGACAGTGAGTAAGCAGATGGTATTAAAAGATGGATGAAGAGGAAATGTATACATATATATATGTGTACATGTGCGAAAGAGAGTGCACATAACGAGAAGAAAGTAATACATATACAAGATCCGATGTTTGTGAGAATAAAAAGGATCAGAGAAACGATGTTTTGATTTGGTCCTTTTGCAAATGTTTTCTAATTCACTATAAACACGTTGTTGCTGACTTGCATTAGAAGAAGAAAATGCTGTGCTAAATCATGATGCAGAAAACATTTCTAGCTTAAGTTAGTTTCGCGAAAAGTGCAATAACTCGTAAGAAACCTATGTGCAATAATAAATTATATTAACACGGTGTTAAGTCATCGTACAGATCGTAATTTTTCTTTTTATATGCATTTGATGGTATATATATATACATAGCATGTCCATGTCTTTATATATGTATTTCACATGGAAGTTAAGTCACGATCGTGTTGTTTATTTTACCTATAATTCATTAATATTCATTGCTCGTTGATATTAAGTTATTATTATGTATACCGAGCAAGATATTTAAAACAGAACACACTTGGAATAACTCGATTACAAACAAATGTTTCGGAATGTGAATTATTTGGATTTAATAATATCATAATTTGTTTGTTAATTGATTTTTTTTGTCTTTTTTATGTGAATACGCAAATGACGAGGTATTTTGTTTATCTGTTTTAAATGTCTCACCCGTTACATAAACGTACATTAATTCGCAATTGACCGTGCAGTATAACAAATTTATATATAAATATACATATAGCGCAATTGAGATGGTTAGTAATGTGCACTAACGCATAATTTGGTTTAGTAATATCACAGGAATAAAAATAAAATAATAATAATAATAATAATGAGAAATAAAAATAAAATGGAAGTGCATCTTGAGATGATCGGCACACAATTGACACACCAATAACGATTATAATTATTATTGTTATTCATGGTATCCACTCTTGATGATTTTTTTAAATTAATCAACGATCTTCAAACGTACCACATACTTTCGTAATATATATTACCTATAGTCGAACGACGCCGATTGGTTAGTGAGCGGCCATCGTTTGTTATGCATTTGTTTAAGCGGCCCGCTTGCCGGGAAACTCAAGCGTCTAGAATAATTAACATTATTTCTTCATCATCGTTGTTCTTATGGATGAGATAATAATTATATTTTTTTTTATTTTTATTTTTTTTTTTTTTAGTGATTATTTATTAACACGGTTAATCAATGAAATCCTGAAATTATTGGCCGTTTGTTGTACGATATCGAAATGGAAGCGGACATCTTGGATTTTTATAAAATAGGGACCACACTATACACGATGATTTAATTTTATTTTTAATTTAATATCTGTTAGCTAATATTATAGTAATATTTTTTTTTATATAATATAATATAACTAATATAGTATTATATTTCCTATTATATAATTAAATTTGATTAATTGCCATAGTTTAATAATCGAAGCAAAACAAATATCTTTGATTAATTTTATAGGTTAACTTAGGTATAATATCCTATAACGTTTAACCTACAAAATATTTGAAATAAATATTTATTCTATTTAATATTAAATAAAATAAAATAATTAATAATATGCTTACCGCTGTGTTGTCGGACTCTTGGGTGGAAGTCCCGTTTCCTTAGAGACTTCCCTCCTCTCCTCAATGTAGACCGTTCTTTCAGTATTATAATTTCCTAAGTTGTTGTTGTTACTATTCCCACCGCCACTAGCTTCAATTCCAGTCATACTATTATTATTATTGTTGTTAATGTTATAACTATTGTTGGACATAACATATCCCCGATCTGAAGCAAATGTTACAGTTGGCGATGCGTTATTAACGTAAGGAGTACGTGGATGTACAGGGAATGCAGGTGTTTGCGGTCTTGAAACACCAACTGTACTTCCGGGACTGACGCTCCTCTCGGTCCACGATGATGCCGAGTCATTGTGGGACTAAACAAACAAAAAAATATAAGAACGATCACCTTACCGCTCATATCGTCTTCCCCTCTTTTTCACAAGAGAAGAAATAAATAAATAAAAAGAAACAAAAAAAAAATATATATATATATAGAGAGAGAGAGAGATTGAACTTGTTCAACGTGAAAAACAGGATCGTGCAGATAATAATCGATCAAAGATAATTATATGTATCTGGGTATACATTATATATATATATTTATAATCTAAGTGTTTTATATGCAGTTTCAGGCTAAGCAATGTGCATTTTCCAAGTTCGGTCTTGGAGTTAGCAAACAAACAATGAGATTTTTAATCAAAAGTTACATTACGTGAGTTGCATCTGATGGATGTCATCATGATTGGGAAAATAGATAGTTGGATAGTTCTTATCATCGAAATGAGGACAATTCAGCTACTACACCATGTTTACGTATGTCCTGTGTCTGTGAATATATGCGCTCATTTCTAAGAGATGTAGTACTCCATTGTAATAGTCCATCAAGCGTATAACTCGCGTGTTACGAATGCTAATGTGTGCGTGTGAATGTGCTTGTGAGCGTGTGATGACAAACCTGTGTACAATTCTGCCATGCTTTTGGCGACTGGTTAGGGGAACAATTAGTGGCAATGCTAGCGACGTTGTTGGTGACCGTTGTCGCGGTAGTTGCATCTATAGTGGTGCCATGATCGTGGTTCTCGATCTTGTTAGTCGCGGAAGTGGATGAGGGTGATGAGCGATTGGGTGATATCTCAGCCAATGAACGAATTAGGCTCACGAGAGGATCTCCTTGAATAGGAGGTGAAGATGACGTTTGTTGATCTACTACTGCTAAAAGTCCTCCTTCATTTTGTTGTCCATTGCTGTTGCTTCTGTCATTGGTTGTTGCATTGTTATAATTTCTTGAATAATTTTGATACGCTGTTGATGTTGTGGTTGTAGTTATGCGATTTCTTGACTCTGGTCTTGATGGTCTAGCCAAAGTTGCACAATTTTTCTCGAGAGTTGTTCTTTTGTTTAATTCGTGACCATTTTCTGGATTGCTGATGCTATTCATCCCGTTGTTCTGTTGTTGTTGTTGTTGTTGTGGTTGTAGGAATTGTTGTTGTTGTCTATGTTCACGCAAAAATGCATCGGCACGTGCAAAACTATCGCTTCTAGATTCCGGACGAGGTGGTTGCTGTTGTTGTTGTCTATCCAAGTTGACTGGACTACTCGATCGACGTTGCATTCCTGTGCTTAAGGGTGGATCGGCTGCAAATACTGCGCGGGGGGATGACGGAGGGCTCTGGAAAGCAAGCCAAGCGCTTCATGCTAGGAAACTAGTGTTCTATCATTATTATCTCGCACTATATCGCAATTGCATTTTGTTTAAATAAGTTTATTATATATTATGATTATGATGACTATTATTATTATTATTATTATTATTCGTGATGAATTATTTGTACGTGTAAGTGTACAATATCGAAGGTAAAGTGCAACAAAAAAGGGAAGGTTTTTTTTTTATCTAAAGCGGATTTGTCGCAGCTAATTGTAATATTGTAATAATTCTATTGTTAAAATTTGAATATTTAAAATCTAAGCTAAAAAAGCATTAAAAAATGCCTTTCGTTTAAACAAATTTGTTTTTGATGAATGAACGTATCTATAAATATCTAAACAGGGTGCATTCCTTTTACTATATATCATCTAAATTTCATCTAAAGTGCAATCTATCGTGCCGATGTACATAAATATATATGTATATGTTGTCTAAACTATCGTTAACGTGCACGATGGAATTTAATCGATCGATAATGGATACAAATAAAATAAAATAATAAAAAAAAAAAAAAATAAATTTTGGAAGAAACGTTTACGAGAACGTGCAGGATGAATTTAAACCGATCTCGATATTTAAATAAATAAACAATAAAGTAGTACTAAATTAAATAATAAATAATAAAATGTAAACAAAGGACGAAGGGGGGGGTTGGGATTTTAGGAAATGATCGAAGCAAATTCTCACCTGACCGTCGTTGTACTTTCGATACTCGTAAGCTCTCTTCACAGAGACGAATGGTCGTTCGTTCATACTTTCAGCCCTTGGTCTGCCAAGAAGGGCGTTACTAGCGTTGCTGCTGCCATTGTACTTACGACTACTTGATCTTTGCGGAAGCAAAGGACTCGCTGGTGCTGAGGTATAAGGAGTCGTTTTCGATTGGGTCTGGTTTATGAAGAAAATCAAACAAATACCAAAATAAACGAAACTATTTTCAAACTAACTATATTCTAATATACTAATTTGGGAATGGCATATATGAAATATATATATATGTATATGTATATATGTATATAAACTTAATTAAAGTTTTAATGAGAATTTACCTGATTAATAAGTGAACTTGGTATCCAAGTATCGTCGTCATCGTCGAGTACAGCAGAATCACTCGCATAACCATCCTGCCTTAATCTTCCTCTTTGATAACTTCGAAGTTCTCCGATAACACGATTCCCAGTTTCCTGTCGCCATATTGTTTTAGGACTCTTTTCGTCCCTTCTTGCAGCAAGTTTTAATTGTTGTTGCCTCAGCCATGACAATCTATCATCATCATCATCATCAACATATTACAATCAAATTAAAATAATACTTTTTAAATATGTAAATTGATATGTTTCATTTAGTTTGTTTATTTTTAGGTTAGTTTCTATGTTAATCATTTTTTTTTTTAAATGTCTTATCGGATAGTTTGATTACAATTAAATAATATAGGGAGTTTGGTTAGAGAGAAAATGTTTTAATCTTTTATCATGTTTACTTCCATATTTGTTCTTGAAAATTGAGTAGCATACAATGAACAATGAGATAGACTATGATGATCATATCGGATGTAACGGTGAATAGAGAGAATGCAGTGAAGGTAATCAGTGTAAGTCACGTTACAGTTCGATGCATCCGATAACTATGTTTCAAAGATGCATAATATTTTTAGATAAACATTTTTTCCTTTTGCTATTTTCTTTTTTTTTTTTTTCTTTCTTTTAGTTAAAGAACTAACGGTTACCAAACTAAGTCAATTGTATCGTATCTTTGGTTGGGTGGAAGTTAACGTTTTATTTATTTATTTATTTTTGAACACATAAGATAAATATACTAAATTATTATTTTTTAAGTTATATAATAAATTGTACTTTTTTTTTTTTTTTTTTTAACTATGGTATATATTTTTTATAATTTAATTTTTTGAACCGTGATTTATCATATTATATTTTAAAAGCGAATATTTTTTGTTCGCAAGCAATAAAAATGCGACTTTGAAGTATATTTCAATATATATAAAAAAAAAAAAAACGTTTTGAAGAAAAAAGAAATACATTGACACGAATTATCCAAGTTTTTTTTTTTTTTTTTTTATGGGAAAACATTTTTCAAGCTTTTCATTGCAAAACTAATAATTTTTTTAACCGTACGTCAGTATTACCATTCATGCATATGTATGAAAGAAAATTTAATTATAACATATATATATATATATATATAAAAGTGAAAAGAAAAATGCAAAGTAATTTATCGTAAAAGGCAAAAGTTTTATTCATATATAAAGTAAGAGAAAATAAAAAAGTAAAAAATACAAAATACAAAAAAAAAAAAATACAAAACTTTATTGGAGCAGGAAAGAATGACGGAAGTTCGTGCTTTATAAGAATATTATAAGAGAGTTGAGGAACGTAGTAGCACACAGACAGCAACAGCCATCGTGTACACCGCTTTTGTGTACACCTAGTTTCTGTTTTAAACGATTTCCGTATCCGAGTATCGTACCCTTTTTTGGTATACATAGTTATGAAAGAGTAGAAAAGTTTCAAAAAGAAGATATACATATATGTGTCCTATGTACTAGCATTGGAATGGGTTCTATAACGGGAACTGACTGGAAACAACTAGACGAAAGAAAAAGTTCAAATATGTTGAAAGATGATGGTATGTGAAAAACAGAAAGAAACATAAAGAAAGGAGAATGAGAAAGAGAATGAGAAAGAGAGAAAGAGAATGAGAATGAGACAGAGAGAAAGAGAGAGAGAGAGAGAGTAAGAACAAGGTTTGAAGATTTTACTACTTCTCGCTCGATTTAAAACGTCTCGCCTGTGTGTACTATATTTACAATTATATAAGAAACAGTTGGAGAAACTTAAAATAGTATAATATATATATATATGTGTGTGTGTGTGTGTATATATATATATTTGTCTCTCTTTGTTATCATTATTCCGTATCGGTAACGAATTCCTTGACTAATTGAAACACTAACGTGTGGAAGAAATATATTCTTCGTTTTAATTAATTTAATTAATTAATATAATTAAATATATTATATTTCTTGTCAAAATAATTGGTATACAAGTAAATTATTATCAATGTCGCGTAATTAACCGTAAATTTTATTAATTTCCTTTTTTTTTCTTTTTTTTTTTTTTTTTAAATTTAATTGGAATTATATTATAAAAGAGAAATAAATAACATTGTAATTTTGGGTTCAACAAAATAAATTTAAAAACAAAACAAAAAATGTTTAATTTTCTTTTAATTGCAAGAAATCGAACACTAAAACTTGATAACATTATATACAAATAAAAATATACAAAATAATTTCACGGATGGTAATTTGAAACGGGATTAACCATCGAACATATTCGACAGGAGACAGGAATAACGAGGACACGCGGCGAGGACTTGAAAATAAGGTTCTCCGTCGAGTTCGTACGAGAGAAAAATAAGTTCCCTTTTTTTCTTTTTTTCTTTTTTTCTTTTTTTTTTTTTCAAGTTGCTTCGAAAGTAGACCTGCCAAACGTCTGTCGGTCTTCTCTACCATAAACGTCGTAACCGTTTCTCTCCACCGACGCACCAGTCAAACTTGCTCTTTGTAAATACCCACGACACGACACGATCAAGAGAAAAGACTAACATAAGGAGAGGAGAGACAGACTTTCGCGAGGATGGCGTTTCTCTCTCGTATGATTTTGCCCCTTTTACGAGTTTGAAGTTTTTAACCGAGTGGAACAAGCAACAGCAGCAGCAACAGCAGCAACAGCAACCACGAAAAGATTGAAGAAAGCAAACTTGACGTACATGTATAACGCATAGAAGGTATCTCAGCCCCCCCTTTCACTCCCCTTCCACCTCTTCACCCACCCATCATCAACCAATCCATCCACCTTCATGAAAGGAAACCACCAAAGCACCGCGAGAAACGAGATGAGAAAAGAGAAGCCGTTTATTTTCACGATTTTGCGTTTAACACGCGCCTTGTATAAAATAGGACCCCTTCTCCAGGCTGTCCACCCCC